ATCAATAACGATAAGCACTGCAATAAAAAATACACCCTAGCGACCGAAATTATGTGGATTCCGACAAAAAATTCTTGGTTATATTCCACGTCTGGAAACGTACTACTGACAATACAATGCAAAAACTATCAAGAAGCCAAACATACCCTTGTTAACACGGGAAAAGTAACGCTAGAAGAAAATTGTAAATTAATTACAGAAAGTAAAATTATCAACTCCAAAAGGGCAACACAAACAAAAACCATAGAGACATATTTACCACACACCCAAATTAAATTAATACAAAATGACGTAACGCACGAAAACGATACGAACAAAATAACGTTAGAAAAACTCAGAAACCCGACTGACTTAACGTACTTAAAAAGGAATATCGACAGGATAAAAGAAGAATTGGAGAATAGCCAAGAACCCTTTTATCACCATAAGCAATTTATATACCCTATGACAACGAGCGGAATTACCATTGTTCTTATAGGAATAATAATAGCATATATAATAATAAAGAAACTAAAAAACAAAAAGGGAAAAGTAACGAAGCCTGTTGTCATAGCAGAAAACTGCCCAGCCTAAGTATAAAAATACAAATACATTACACCCATGTATCCGATAGAAATTAAGAACAAGTGTAAAAAGAAAGTTCGCCTACTCACTTTCTTTCCATTAGAGGGGAAGGGTGTCATGAGTGCGATGCACCGCACGTCAGACGACGACCTCGCACGCGGCAAGGTGTCAGATAACCCCTGCCGCATGCGACGTAAGCGAATACCCGGAACAAAGTACGAAACCATCGAAGCCGCGCATACAGTTGCTAAGGGAAAAACCGCTTACTAACCAATAAACGGCCTAACAACAGGGCCAAGCGCGGTTGGTATAAAATGGAATGGAAAGGAAGGAAGACGGGCCAATCTGAAATAAACTGGACGAGTGAACGTATCAATATAGAAATTTTTTAATAAAAAAGTGTTGGTTAAAATTATTGGCTTAAGGTCCTAAACTACCGCGAGTCCTAATCCCGGCAACAACCCACGATTCCCGTGTTCCGACCCTGTCGGCGGCACAACATTTTTTATTTCAAGGAGGCCGGAATGTTCACGCGTAGATTTGAATAGCGCGCTAGTAGAGGCGTCCGCGTAAGCAAATTTAGTTACAGCGCTACCGATTAGGAGAGGCGCCAGCGTAGCCAATTAATAGCAGCGCTTACAGCGCTTCCGGCTAGAGTCAGAGGAAGATTGCCGCTCGTTGTCTTGTACGTACTATAATAAAGAGCAAAAGGTTCTCAGCTACTGAATCTTGTGATAGTACCTATCTCAGGCGTGTCCTACCTGTTTCACCATTCATCCTCTGAGATTCACGGTCGTTAAGCCGTAACACATTGTATGCATACGGTTTAAATCTCAATGATCTGAAAAAAATACAATAATAGTTATATTTATTGTAATGCTAAGATTTTAGTAATTGATGAATGCACTCCTGTGCATAGCCTACCTTCTAGGAAACGTAAAATTGCATTCATTCTCGAGTGTATGTAATGCACTTGGTGGTGAACCAATAACTCGATACCGTTTGTTCAACCACGGATTACTATAGACAGATATAAAACAATGTAACATTGATAATTAATTAAACCATGTGAATGAAGAAATGACATATGAGAATTTTACATTATATATGACCAGTCGAAAAATGACGTCATAGTTTATGGAAATCCACAAATAACATTGATAGTATATAAATCATTTTTTATTTTACCTTCGAGAATACCTTTTTGGTGTTGCTGTAATGCCAGTAATCAGTTTCATTCGGACCATCAAGATTTTTATTTGTATCGCATAATTCATTCAATGCGTCAGTTCCACTGTTGGTTTTTTCACGCTCATCGGCTATAACCCTGCTTGTGCCTGGATTGCAGACAAGTAGAAATTCTTGACGAATGATATTTAAATTCAAGTTTACTGTATTATCAGCTCTGAAACGTGTACAAAAATGTATGGTATTATTTATCACATACTTTTGATATTACATTTATTATGATTGTGAATAAAAATTATACCTCTTTTCTGTTGACGTTAAAAATAAAGTCGGTATAACAGTCTGTAAAAGGCGCGGTCTTTTCTTGCAATCGGGAACTTTTGATTTTTTCTTTGGTACTACGAATGAGTCCTCAGAAAAATGCAGCGAACACACTTTTGCTAAACAGGACATATATAATTTAATTTTAAATATATTCGTAACATACATAAAAATCATACAGA